TTCTTACAAGAAAACTAAATATTCATCAAGTGTGCACCCTCCATTTTGTGCACTCTCTAATCCAGCACCCTCAAGGCCTGACTGGTGCCAAACCACAGAAGTCAGTATTGTAGTGAGTGGGTCTCTATTTTTTTCATTTCACCAAGGTGAATAAATGAACTGCGCTTGCAATGCTGCTTAATAACGTATGTCTGTAGTGATACACCCTATATAAGACTACACGTAGACAATGCTTATAGCTCTCTTCATAACAGCGTTAGTATTACACAATTTTACTGTATTGGCACAAGGAGATAAACAGATAAAGCCTCTCTCTCTCTCACTCACACACACACACACACGCAGTCGCCAGCATTATCAACACTTCTGCTGCTTGCTGGTCTCTTAGAAGACATTTAGGGGTTATTTAGAGCTAAATAACAGCACAGAACACTGAGAGCCGGGACTGGTGGCTGTAAACAAACTTTATGGGACTGCGGGAATCTTAGTCAGTTCTCTGCTTATCATGGGTGTAGCTAACTAAAATCATGTCGGACTACAGATGTTACCAGACAAGAGGCTGCTGGACTAGAGAGCTTCAACCTGTATTTGACCTGGGCTCTGAAAACAGAACTATTAATTTTCTCATGGGTAGGTATAAAGTGTCCATTAATTTGGGTGCCCCATTTGAGACTTCCAGGATGTGATTTAAGACTCCTTAGCATTATATAGCACTTCATCTGTTCAAAGCAAAACTCCCATTGACTTTATTTGGAACTGTGAGAGTTCAGAACTTCTGCAGATCAGACCCAACAGTCTCAAGTCAGGTACCCAGACAAGAAGGAACACACACAGCTAGTGACCACATTTGAAATGTTTGGTTTAACTGATTTGATTAGTGACACATAGGATCTCTGTGGCCAAGGAAAAGACCAAATCAAATTCTCATGGGTAGAATTCAACTGTTTTACCACGAGCCCATTGTTTTGGTTTCTATTCCTGCAACCCCCTGCCTCAGTTGTACTTATGAAACAAACAATGCAGAATTCTACAGATTAAAAAAAATCCAAAAACGTAACTACACAGCCCTGATTCATCCCCAGAGCAGGTGCATCCTGTGCACTGAATGAGGCAGAGGCCTTGTGGAAAAGTATGTAATCATACAATTCAACAGTATCACGCTGCTTACACATAAGGGGGTCACATTCAGGTTGCACAGACATTGTGGTATTTCCTAGAATTGAACATTTGACTTTACAACCTTCACAGTATGCTTTAATGTAGTATCGTTCTGATTTGTTACAAAAGTCTGAACCCTCCCCTCCAAATTTCCTCCCGTAGCACACACCACCTATATGGTTCATCAGATCGAAACCCTTCAGGTCCACCTCACAAAACAGGATAGCAATAGTAGCTTGTCATTCTCTACATGAGCCGCCACTAGAGGCAATGAGACATCCTGTGCAAGTGTGTTTCACAATTATTTGCTGAGACAAAAGGAACTGTGATTTTAGGGTTAATTCCCGACCAAGTACGATCTCTTTTAACGCATCCACTCCTTGTGGTCCCAGTCCCTGCCTACTTCCACGGCTGGCACACCTCAACCAGTCTTGTCCTCCTTGCTACCCAGCCCAAGTGCTTTTCTCAGGCATTTCATCCTATTCCTACTCTCCTTGCCCAGTCGTTCCTACCGCATTCGTACCCTAGCTCCTAATCCAATCTGTGCCTCCCTACATACACAGCCCTAAACCAGCCCCATTCTTAACATCCCTCCACTCTTTGATTCAAACAGTCGTGGTTCTGACCCCCACACGGACTTCTCAGATTTGTCTTCCCCTCCTGCTCTCCTCTCTCTCCTGCACCCCTGGTTCAGTTCCAGTCTCCCTCTACCTACGTACACAGACCAAATTTCCCTCTCCCTCTGCTAATCCAGGGTCCCAGTCTATCTTCCCACACTGAACTCCCAGTTTCAGTTCTCTGTTTCCTACCCTTATGTTCCTTGTCCCTATCTACTCCCCTTACAGATCAAGCTCTTCTTTCCCATACACACAGGCTAGATCTAGACTGCCCCCTCTTGTAGAAGAGAATATGTAAATGAGGCAAAGTGGCGAATATTGCCACACCTCATTTGCATACTTAATGAGCTGCCATTTTGCACAAAACCTCCCTCTTGCACAAGATCCGTTCTTCCTGGAAAAAAGCAGCAGAACGGCTTTTGTGCAAGAGGGGGGTTTTGCGCAAAAGCCCATTGCGCAAAAATGGCAGCTCACTAAGTATGCAAATGAGGTACGGCAATATTCATCACTTTGCTTCATTTGCATATTCTCTTGTGCAAGAGGGGGCAGTCCACACTCCAGTTAGGTGGTTTTATCCTCCACACTGTCTAGACCCAGAAAGGAGGTCACTAAAAGCACAGGAAAGACAGGCGCCTTGAACTCACTTCTGGTGCCCAGGCGCAGCCCTGACTGCAGCAGTCCAGAGCTGTAATTGCAGGAAAAAGTCCTGAGTTCTGGGTAGATTTTCACAGTGACAGCGAAAATTACATCCCTGTCTCTAAAGCACAAGGGAGCTAGGCAGCAAAGACACCATAATTTTTTTTAACCTGCGGAAAACAATGTTGTTTTCTCTCTCCTCGTTCTCAGAAGCAGCTGGATTATTTTGGCTGAAATTTCCCCAACATTTATTTAACATAGGGGAAAACAATATTGTTTTCTCTTGCTTTATTCTCAGAAGCAGCTGGACTATTTGGGCTGAAATGTCCCCAAAATTTAAAAACAAACAAAAACCAAGCCAGACACACACAACATGGAAAATGTCATTCAAAACGGTCGAAAGTTTTGCCAGTTATGAACAACTGAAAACTGGGTCATGTAATGGGAAATGTTGGTAACCTTAACAATACATGGTGCTACCAGCTCCTATTTGTAGTAAGAGCAATTACTTCATTTAAAAACAACAACAAACCAACCAAGCACACTTTGCAAAGCGTCAGCAGTAAGAAGCCTTACACAGATTTTCAGAAGTAAATGGACAGGAGTTAACTACTGCATAGACCAGGGGTGGGCAAAAGGGCCTCCAAAGGCCGGATCCGGCTTGCCAGGCAGGTTGAGCCGGCTCACGGAGACCCTGCCACTCCCTCGCCCCCAGGCCAATTGGGGCCAGAGGGCAGGGGAGCATGCAAAGCTTCCTCCCACCCTGCGAGCAGCAAGCAGCGCTTTGAAGTGCTCCCCTGCCCCCAAGCCTAATTGGCCTGGGAGGTGGGGGAGCGGTGTGAATTTTGAAGTGCTGTGCACAACTTGCAGGGCGGGGATGAGAAAACTTTGAACACTCCTCCTGCCCCCAGGCCAATCAAGGCTTGGGGTCGGGGGAGAGCATGACGTCTCCTCCCGCCCTGCGAGCAGCACCCGGCGCTTCAAAGCGGTGGGTGCTGCTCACAGGGCAGGAGAAAGCTTTGTGTGCTCCCCCCTGCCCCCAGGCCAATCAAGGCTTGGGGTCGGGGGAGAGCAACTGGAAGTGTCCTAGCCCCGCTGCTCCCCCCTGCCCCCAGGCCCTAATTGGCCTGGGGGCAGGGGAACGCCATGTGAGCCTTGCGGGGCAGGAGGAGACTTTGGCCTGCAGATAGGGGGAGTGCACAATCAGGGCCTGGGGGTGGGGGAGCTGAGCGAAGCTCCCTTTGCCCTGTCCCGGCCCTGCGAGGCAAGGAGTGTACGGCACTCCCCTGCCCCCAGACCAATAATAGTCTGGGGGTGGGGACGCCCATACCAATCATCGACTGTGGGTGGGGAAGCCTGGAAGCATCCTAGCCTCGCTCATTCTGGGGCAGCTGGGGGCCACTTCCAAAAATTTTTGAAGTGGCCCCCAGCCAAAAATTATTGCCCACCACTGGCATAGACAAAGCAGACAATTTGAATACTAGGGATGTTAGCATATAATGGAGTAAATGATTAATTAAGCCTGGGCTTATTGGTTAATCCTATCCACTACGCGCACTTCCCCCTCTCCATCAGCTGTTTCAAGCCTGCTACCCATGTATATTGGTTCCCACAGATCCACCTGCCTCCCCTTGCTGCCTCCTACAGAGGCATCAAGAGGGAGCAGGCAGGAGCCAGTGCTGAGGGAGGAAGGGCGGGCGCCACAAAGCAGCCCCTGTCCTTGGGGGTCCGAGCTCCCC